CGGGGTTAGCCACTGCTTGCTCTTTATTGGGGTTCCTATAATAAGGATTGCAATATTGTTGGGTCTATATTGGGGTCCCCCTATTTGGGGAATCTACCGTATGTGCTTCAGATATTCGAATAATTCTACAAGCTACAATCGGGTATACACCCAGCCGGCCCGAGTTCAGCAACAACCCAAGGAGGCACTGACTTGGGTGTCCCTTTGCGCATGTGTTTTTTGGAATATCAGTTCTAGGCGGCGCTAGTCTTCGTCCGCGTAGCTGTCGAGGGAGGCCATTCTTACACTTGTGGCGGAGAAGTTGGAACATGAATTGGATGAATCATCCTAAACCCTAAACCCTCTTTCTGGCCCTTGGTGTAGAGGAATACTGACATTCCAACTTCCTGGCTCCTAGCCAACTCAAATTCTGTTGCGGCCAGGCAACACACTGTTGCTGTGACTGCGGTGGTAGAGGGGCTGGCAGCGGATGCATCTCCTTTTGCACATCGGAATACGTCTTCAAACTGCGGGCGCATTTGCTATGCTCCAGTCTTTTGACACTGACTCTGTACTAGGCCACTAGGCCGAACCCTGAACTAATGACACACAAGATCCAACGTTGAACAAATAACACAGAGGCGTGAGCTTTCAAGGGGCAGTGCACTGGATCCCGAGTATAGGTGCTTAATTGATCCAATATGAAGACGTAGTCCAATGGTTCCGACGCATAAGGACGTTTACGAAGTCAGGGCCTTATGCTGACAGGGACCCATCCTTTGGAGTTTTCCCACGTAGCAGACAAGATTCACCAACAAATGCTTTCAAACAACAGTTCAAGTACCCCAAAACACTATTCTGAGTATATCACTCTTTCTCGAATGGGAACAAAAATTCCAGAATATGCTTGATTCTATTGAACACATCATTTCCAAATTCTGAGCAAAATGCTTCTTTGCTACTTGACGAGCTGTACTTGATTGTATATCTTCATTAACTGAATGCACCAAGCATTCTCGTTTCACCTTCAACGCACCAGACTCAAGTCCGCTTCACACCCCAAAACACTATTCTGAGTATTCAAGGCCCCCACATTACCCTAGACCTTATGAAATTACTATTATCACTATCCCGATTATGACTACTCCTACTACTATTATTTCTATTGCTACTACTCCTATTATAAAGTGGAATCGAGTCTCAGCCGTTGTGCCGTATTGCATCGCAGGGGTGCAGACTGGAACCGCCACCATTGAGGGCAGAAAAGCACTGCAACCAGAACACGACCCTATGGTTTTGAATGAAGGCTCGAGCCAGCAACGGATGAACTTATCCTCGCAGTGTGCAAGGTGGGTATGTGCCAAAAGTTGTGCCGAATTGTATTTCATTTCTTCTGCACATTGATCCTCCGATTCTGGAAAGGCTTTAGCAACCCTAAACTGGGTTGGTGTTCAGGAACTTAGTTTAAGTTACTATATCGGGGAAACCCTATTATTTACTACATATACACATTATGGTAAATTAACCTAAGTTCCTTAAACAGCAACCGAGTAAACCCTAAACCTAATTTTGGCACATGAGCGGCAGAGCTACTGCCTAGCAGAGCTACTGCTGTGCAAATGAATCCACCCACAGGCCCAAGTACCTGAATAGTATATGGAATTGGTGCCCAAATGGGTGCCCAAGTTGAATAATATTTTGTTATATGCATGTTCTTTTCCATCATCCTTATACTACCCTGCATTACCCAAATATCACCCCAGGTACTTGGACCCATAGGGAGTGAATCTCAAGCTTCAACGCCCTTTTGTGTCCGTCGCTGCTTTTCGCGCTGCTTCACTTACTGGAGCTAATGCCTTGTGAAGGACACGGTGTCCCCTGTAAGGTTGAAGAGCGTGTAGTAGTGGGCCCACAAAGGCAGACCCAGCACAAGCAAGGGATCCCACATAGCCTTAGGAGGGTCCATAACCTGCACCGTTCCCACAGAGGTCATGGTAGTCAAGTCGAAGTCGAGTACCACTGGAGGCTGGTGGTGCGCCCCTTCCAAGTAGAATTGTAGCTTTGAAGGGAAGCCACCCAGCCAACTGGCTAGCTGGTAGGGTAAAAGAAGCCCGGGAGTGCCTGTATCGATTATACAAGCACGAGCATGCTTTGTGCAATCAAGCCCAGAATACTCCACATCATCGATGACAATCTTCATGACATTCCTCGGCTCGTGCTCTCTGAACTCTCAAAGGTCTTGACCTACCATCATGTGAGCTATAGTCTAAACTCCAGCATTTAATAACCCTAATAGTAGTCCCCTATATAATATAATACCCTTTAAGGAAGCTAGACTATAGCTCATATAGAAGACAGAAATATCTGGCTATGTGGTTCTCTTTGCCGGCTCTGAAAATCCAATACGCAGCGCACAACCCGATTGGCCGCCTAGGAATTTCAGAAACTCCGAAGCTGACGGGTTTAGGGTTTAAGGTTTAGGGTGTAGGGCTTAGGGTTTAGGGTTTAGGGTCCCCCACACCTTCCCCGTGGATCACCCATTTTCAAAAATCAGGAGGGACCCTTTTGCCCTCCAGAATGCGCTGGCCTTGAATACAAGTACTGTCCAAAAGGGGTACGCTGGATTATGCTGGGGGATCCGGTGAGCAAGGCGTCGCCTCCGGAACTGTATAGCATAAGGATTATTTCGAAACAAAATTGTCTTACACAGAGGCCCTGAACTCGACCAATGATTTTCCATAAGGTTCCAAGTACCTCAATATTGGGGTGTTAGGTACCCTAAGCCTTGTATTTTGAGCCATAGTCTAAACTCCTAGTATCCCCCTTTATATCCCCTGTAATACTCCCCTAGATAACTTAAAAAACCCTTTAAGGAGTTTAGACAGTAGCCCATTCGGGTACGTGGACCCTTAGGGTTTGAGAAGCCCAACTTCGTCAGGACTCGCGTTGTACCATCCCGACGCTCCGTCGCCTGAGTCCAGCCGTGCGGTCGGCGCCCTGTTCTGGCTGAAGGAGCTAGGGTTTTGGGTTCAGGGGCAAAGACTGGGCATAGAGTTTAGGGTAATTGTGTTTATGTAGGGTTCAGAGCTTATTGGCTAAGTTGTGTTTCAGGGCCATTTTCCGTATCAACCTCTGTTTGGGGGATGAGGATTATGAATGTTACTACGGTTAATACAAGTATTACTGTTACTACCATAATTACACTATTGTTACTATTACTACTAGTCCTACTGTTAATATTACTATGACCAATCTTACTATTGTTAATTCTTACTATTATCATTTTGGTATTATCACTCTTACTATTGGATAGGGCAGCCCTGCTTTGCCCGGCCTGGGATCAAAGTGTGCCGTCTGCGTGGCTGCAGGGCCCAGGAGGAGGCTGCCGTCAGAACCCCCAGACCTTCGGGGATACCGTTATAAGTCCACTCCCCTAATCTATAAAAACACCCCATTCCCGAAATGTTGAATACTATATCCTCATACTATGTTGGGACTGTTTAATGTTGGGGGGGGTGGGGAGGTTCAGTAGGTAGTATTAAGGGGAGGGGTTGACTTAGTGCTTTTGTAGGGGCATAGCAGGATATAGAGGGTTTTAGGGCTGAAGGATGTCCAAGGCTTAGGGTTTAGAGCCTTGTGTCAAAAATCTGCGACTGCTATTTAACCTCCTATGGACCATGCCAAAAGTGAAAGATAAGTCGTGCTAGCAAACTTCCAAGAAACCAATACACTCCAAAGATCTCTGAACCTTCTGGAGTCATTCGCAGCTCTTGCATCAACGGAGGTAGCAGAGATGCACTCGTCGACGGACACAACATCTCAATGTCCCCCGCAAAGTTAGAGCACGAGCTTGCTAAGTTGGCGAAAGCAGGGTATACCTGAGGTGTCAGAAGAACTGCGTTGATATTACACCCACCCTCTGAGAGCTCACAGACCTCGAGGAAATCCCAAGCAAGACGTCAGATTTTCAAGACCCTGGCACCTTGTTCCTCTTGCGATAGGCAACGCCAAAGATGCCCTCACTGGGCTGACCAGTACAAAGATGAGGCGCGCAGGAACCTGCAGCAAAGATTGCATACCTTGCATCGGGTATGCGCAATGTGCTGCTGGCACCACCGGTGCCCAGAGTCAGCTCCCCTTGGAAGAAGGGGCCTACATACCCGTCTTTGAAGTAGTCACCGGGTGTAGTAGGACCATACTGCTCACAGGCCTTGAGACCTGTTTGGTTTGACAGTGGCAGTGTCTCCGGCAAGCTTGTGTTGCAAAAGGCCACTGTGGAGGATCCTGTGTCAAGCAGCAGCACTCGAGCTGGCAGCGTGCCAATACTGACACGGAGCAGGAGCCGGAAGGAAGCGTATTCCAGTGGGAGGGTGTACCTGAAATGTTCTCATAGAAGCCGGCTACATACTCGGTGTTGCAAAGAGTCAGAAATTCCCTGCATTCAACATCCCAAAAGAACAAAAGTTGTCAAAACACAATGCGGATACCCCTTGAGGGCCGATGCTCTTGCCTGGAGCAAGGACAGCGATAAGTCCTCGTCACAGCGTGGCAGCGGTGATTGTGCGGCTTGCACTTGTAAGGAGGCCAGCCATAAAACGCAGAGCGACCGCATATTCTCCCACTCTACAGGGCCCGAAAGAGGAGAGTTGAGGCCCTTCAGCAAGTTCAGACTTAGCTGCAGTTGTGGATGTTTCAAACTTGTGGCTTTCGCGCTTGGGATTCGTTGTGCGGGAAGGCATTATCGCTCGCGGGTGAAAGGGCTTCAGGAATCGGGTCATCCTTAGCAAATGAAACTTTCACCTTGGAATGTCCAGAAGACATGTCCATCAATCCCCCCTTTTCTGCAGCCTTCTCTATCTTTTCAAGATCCTCTGCGTAAAGCTCTGAATACCATTATTACTAGCATTAACATGATTGTTACTATTACTACTACTATTACTATGAAGTACTGCAGTTTTGAACATGAAATGGCTTCGGAACCGATTCCACAGCTGCTTGCATGATGCTGAGAGCCTGCAGCCTGCCTCGCGTGACAGAATCAGCGCCAGTCCGCATCATGGAATAGAAAGGCCCTCGGTTTAGGATTTAGGAATTAGAATCATAGCCATTGCTGCGCTAGACAATGGAACTGATAGGCAACTTATCTTTGCCCATCATGTGGCCTTCTACTGCCTCACCCAAAGCAAATTGAGGGCACAGCGTGTTTAAGATCCCCATTTCTAGTGGTCAAGAGATGCTTGCACCCCAGCCTCTTCATAGAACACCTGCCCAGACGGAGGTGAGACGTTTATCTTGAGTCAATACAACGAATGGGATATGAGCGATTGAAGCAGTGCCAGCGGCCACTTTAAGCTGCCTTACATACCTATACAGCAGCTCATACAGCACTGTTCAGTCGACAGCAGTGGTTTGAAGGGGCAGCTGTGAAAAAATGCTTGCTCCGTCGGATTACCATGTGATCACCTGATGTGACCCCATGTACCATGATGCGCCATGAAATCCTATCTTGGTCCCACTCGCGTTTAATAAGCAGAACATGTGAACTACAAGACTTCAGAGTACTCAGATACCCGTTCTGGGCGGGATAAAACCACCAATGAGAACGACAGCAGCAACTTCAAATTGAGACCTAAACAAAGCAATGCGGGAAACCCTTGCCCCCAGTAAGACTGCCTACAGCTGAAACTTGGCGCTGGCTAGTAGGCGGTGAGTGAATGGAATACAGCGATGACGGTTACGATCATATAGGGGCCACTGTTTGTGTCCATTACCTTATTCCCTACTCTTTAATACTATACTACTATAATGCCAAAATACCATAAAACTATAATACTATATTACTATAATACTATACTACTATACGACTATGCCAAGGAGATTCTTCCCGGCCTCCCCCTTGGCAATAGGCCGCAGGCTGTAACAGCAGCAGCCCTTGCACCCAGATGGGTCCGCGCGGACCTGCAAAAGGGACGGCTACACAGACAGAGGATCTCAGAATCTTAAAACCCACCATCTCGCATCACGACGACTGCAAGGGCCCTAGGTTACAGACTTCGGGCCTTAGGGCTTAAAATGATTCCATATCGCATATTTTTGAGACATGCGGTTAAGGGCTTAGAGTTTTCTGTTTATAGGTTTAAGCCATTCAACCCTCAAACCTTGGACCCCATGCCTACACGAGAATCCCTCAAAGAGGTTCTTCTCAAACCTGGATCTTCATTTACACCCCCAAGACGATGTCTCCCTGCGCAACCGCTCCCCGAACAGACCCCCAAAATGCCTCAAACGCTTCCATGGTCCGCTGCCGGCAAGGAACGGATGTCTATCCGAGGTACGCAGAAGTATCGTAGTATATCATATTAACATGGGGTTTCTCAAGAAATGGAGGGCCCCCAACAATCCTGAAAACATATAGGAATAATTATGGATTATGGGGCTCCTCTTCGTGGGCTAGATAGGGACTATTATGCAGAAACTCCTATATGGCTTGTTAGTCTGTCACCATCAGGCCACACTCTAAGCCCAAAACCTGGCAAAAACTCCATGCCACAAACGGTTCTCAGACTTCTCAGAACTACAGGTCCCTTCTGAAAGATCCCAAGGCTTCTGCTTGATGAGTTATTGTGTTGAGCTTGCAGACCATGAATTCCTGAAAAACATGAAAGCGTAGGTTAGCCTGAAAACTATGGTTCCTCTAGGGTTTGGAACACGCCATGGCAACCAGCTTCTTTGCAGTACCAGATTGGGACCCCAGGTTTCGGGTTAGCAGAATGCGAGAAGAAAATTGAGGATAGTGCAATCCCCCGAGGACACACCCAGTTGATAATGTTAGGAAATCTGAAGGATTCTTACGAGATTTTGGGATAGGCTTCAGAGATAGCTATCAATCATAGCAGGGTTGTCCTGAAATAGTTAAATAGTCTTGGTGCTATGCGTCCGGATTGATCATGTTAAGGGTTTGGGTTCAGGCCGCTTGCCCAAACGGACACTTCCTTCGTGATACAAAGTGCCACGAACTTGGTTCTCGAAAGGCGGCACTCTGCAGGAAATGTGGAAAGGTCGCCCATCAAGTTGTCTGAGCTACCTTGTACCCAAATTAGACAAAGAATCTAGACCAGAATATTGGCCATCATTTAGGCTATGGCAGGCTTCTATAATAGCCCTATGAGTCGCCGGAGCACGTCTCAACAGTGCGGAGTTCTGCCGCGACCAGACAAGTGGAATCCGGTCAAAGGCTTGGAAACAGCAATCCCGGCACCATATGAACCATGGTCTAGTCTATTAGTATCCCCCTTGATAACCCCTATACAAACCCCAATGCTCTCCTGATGCTCCCCTATATAATGCCCTGTAGAACCCACTTTGAGGAATTTAGACTAAACTCATATTAAGAACCCCTAGCCCACCTGATGTTTTTGGGGGTATCGCGGAGGAAGTAGATTTGTGAGCCATTGTTGAAGCTTCAGAGGGCAGTCCACAATGTACGCGAAAACAGACAATGCCATGGGCCTGCAGTGAATTTGCTTGCTTTTCCGAAGCCTTCCTTCCATCCTTCTGTAGATGTTGTTGGGGAGGAACAAGGAACTGGCATTTACTGGCCCATCTCTGTGATGTTTTTGGGTGTTTTTCAAGATTCTGATCTGCCATATTCTGCTGCGACCTCAGAGAAAAACTGCAAGATCTGCAAGAAACCCTCAAAAAATGTAGGTCTCGGGGCGAACCAGGCTTGCTTGCGCACGCCCCTGCACCTTTTCCTTCCGGCACATCCCGTCTCAGACCACTCACACAAGTAACAACGGGATGCCCGTCCGAATACGCCATAGCTTATCCGAAGCTATCTTGAGTTCACACGAAGGCCGGGCGACATGTCTGGCCTACCCTAACACGGTGACTTCCTCTTCCGCGGCTACCTTCCCCTAAGGGTCCAAGGACACAAATAATAGGGCTTTAGGGCCCAAATTACTATAATATTTGTGGTATTTGGGCCCTAAAACCCTAATATTTGGGTCCTTGGACCCTTAGGGTTCCTACAAATCGAAACCGGCTGTTTCGGAGTAGAAGCCGCCACTCAGCTGGTAAAGAAGCTCTGAGCAGATCTCGGCCCTCTGCAACAAAGCACTGCTACCCAGACCCCCTAAAGGATCCAAAAAATGGAACCCCCTAATAATCCTATAGTTTCCCCAATGTAGTAATGGGTTCATTTTTTGGGGGGGGTTCCATTTTTGGATCCTTTAAGGGGTCTGGGCAAGCACTGGTAACAGCGGATGCACGTCGAGAAGGGGGTCGCGGCGTCGCACCATCACCTGAAGAGCTGCTGGGGGTCACCCTTCAAAGAGCGCACTCAGAGTAATCAGTTCCAGGACCCTCCTTGTACCCTTAATTGGGGATATATGGTCCCCAATAGTAGGTATTTAGGCCCTAATAGAGGGTAGGAGGAGGGTCTAGGTTTTCAAGTGCTCCATGAGGGAA